CTATTAATTCATACATTTGAGCTGAGCTAGTAGAAAAGAATTCCGCTCTGAGTTCCTCTATGACTTTCTGCTGTTGCTTGTTTACTATCAACGCTATTAATTCTTACATTAGAGCTGAGCTAGTGTCCTCTGCATTTGTTCTGGATGGGCATTGGGTTTCTTCCACATGTTTCTGCATTTGATTCTTTAATGCAGATACTATTAATTCAGGGATTTCTTTTTTCATTTCCAATCTGAGTTCCTCTATACCTTTCTGCAGTTGTTTTTTTATTTCAGAAGCTGTTGATTCATTGATTTCAGCTGTGTGATTCCCACTTTGTTCTGTGTTAGTGTCCTCTGAACTTATGGGTGGGATTGGTGTCTGAGATTGCATTTTGCTCCTTCTCGTTGGCATTTTGTGTTGCACTGCCTTCTGACCTTTGTTGTAGAGCTTTGGTGCAGTTATAACCTTAGCATGTACTGAAGTTCAGGTTCAGATCTACAAAGTTTGAATTTATCCAGTTTTGCCTGGGTTGGATCTGGCTGCTGTGCTCAGCTCCTTCCTGCTGCTGCCCTTTGGGGTGAACCTGTTGTGCCCCTCTGGCCAGATGTTCTGCTTCTGGACTAGCTGGGTGGTTCTGTACCCTGCTCTCTCAGCAGGTATCGCACTTGCAGGGTTTCACCCCAGATCTGTATGCCAGGCCTGAGCTGAGTCTGGAGGGGAAAAGGTAGAGTAGGGGAGAGAGGAAGCTCTCCCAAACACTCATCGGGCCTGGGCTCAGACTGGATCTGGGGTTTCCCAGAACACGGCAGCAATTCTCACTGGGCAGGCAGGGTGTGGTGAGGTGCTGCAGAGTGGTGGTGGGGCGTCCCAAGGGAATGGAATAGGGTGTCACTCACGCTGCACCTGGGCTGGTACCAGCAGGTTGGCCCGGTGCAGGGTAGCCAGAAGCTCTCCCACACACTCACCAGGCTTGGGCGAGGACTGGAACTGGGGCTCCCTAGAATGTAGCAGAAATTCTCACTGGGCAGGCAGGGTGTGGTGAGGTGCTGCAGAGTGGTGGTGGGGCGTCCCAAGGGAATGGAATAGGGTGTCACTCACGCTGCACCTGGGCTGGTACCAGCAGGTTGGCCCGGTGCAGGGTAGCCAGAAGCTCTCCCACACACTCACCAAACCTGGGCTAGGACTGGATCTGGGGGTACCCAGAATGTGGCAGAAATTCTCACTCAGCAGGTGGGGTGGGGGTGGGGATCGAAGCTATAGGATTTAAATTTTTCACTCCTGAGTTTTGGTTTTCCTTTATTCTGATTCTTTTCTATTCCCCCTTTCCACCCTTTTGGAAAATAAATGTTTACCCTGGCCCATTATTTGTCAGGAGTGTTCAACTTTTCATCATTACAGAGTCTCACTGCTAGAAGTTTTCTTTGAGTCTCAGAGGAGACTTTGATCTGGGACTTTGCATCAATGCTGGAGCTCTTAGGACTTTGCAAGGCTTTGAGATGAACTAAATGCATTTTCCATAACCAGATGGACCTTTTAGGGGCTGGAGTAGAATGCTATGTTTTCAATCTAGAATGTCCCCTAAAATCTCATGGGTTCCAAGGTAAGGTTTTTGGAAGGTGATTGCATCATGGGGTGCTATACTCATCAGTGGATTGATCCATTGATGAATTTACATGCTGTTGGGGGTGGGGCCTGGTTGGAGGGGTGGGTCATTCAATCCCTGACCTGGAGGGTATATTCTCATATTCTTATCCCTAGATCTCTCATCTCTCTTTGTCTGACTGTCTCTGTCTCTATCTCTGACTTTGTCTCTCTCTCTCTCTGTCTGTCTCTGTCTGTCTCTGTCTCTGTCTCTCTCTCTCTCTGTCTCTCTCTCTCTCTCTCTCTCTCTCTCTCTCTCTCTCTCTCTCTCTGCCTCTCTCTCCTTCCTGGTTTCCATGGCTTGAACTTTGCTCCACCATGCCCTTCTAGTGCACTGTTTGGTAGCTGGCCTAATTTGTCTCCTTTGCTCAGACTTTCGCCTTGGAGCTGACCATGGTAGGTGGAGCCAGCTAACTAAGGATGAATGCTCTGAAACTCCGAGCCAAAATAAATCTCTCCTGCTCTATGTTGCAGGGGTTGGGTATTTTGTCCCAGCAATGGGAAAATGATAAATATAGGGCAAGAGGGTCCTAAGAGCATTATAATGGGGACTGGCATGGGCTCTAGTCTGTTTAGTGGTCAGCACTAAATTTTGCTTAGAGCATTTAATGTGGTACTTTTAATGGAGTAAACATGGAGGTAAAATGTGGGAAGTAGAAAGCAGGAAGTTAAGATATACTGTCATTCACTGTGCTGGAAAACATTCAGATCTCATCTCCTGTAGTCTTCATTTCAGCTATTTTACGTATGTATGATTATCATTACTTCTCAAGATCACACGTCTGGGAAGTGAACCCAAATCTGCTGCCTCTCCATTCCCATCATACACTTTCACAAGGGTAATAACGAACTTGACTTATGGTGTGAAAGCCTGTTTTTCTTTTACATTGGAAGGGCCTGATTAGCCTTGAGCAATAAATAACTCCATTTATTTAGTGTTCAAAGAGGAAATACATTCTCTTAGTACAAAATCCAAAAGTTACAAAGAAACATAGAATGAAAACTAATGACAAGTAAATCTTGCTTCCTTGCTGCACTTTATGCAATTCCCCTTTTTGAAGGCAATTGCTGATATTAGTTACTGTGTATCCATCTAGAATCTTCTTTCTTTACTCATTTGTACACAAGACCAAAAGTGAGCAGCATGCTTGGCCGGGCAAACTTAGGGGTCATATTCAATATGGGAGTAAGAAGGTCTATTATTATGCTCAGGCACAGAAGACACAGTTGGCCAAATCCAACTTCGCCACTCCCTCTTTTGCCTTCAAGAGATCTTTCCCACCCCCACTCCCCTACTACCCTGCTTACCCTGGCCTATCCTACCTTGCACCAGCTGCAGAGAGCTCCTATTCTAATACATTCCTCAGAACCTCCCTTGCTGTTACCTGAGGGGCTGTCTCAGGTGAGAAATTAGTCCCCACCAAGTCATTCAAGTGCATCTGGGGATTGATGAGCCACTCTTTTCACAAAACATGTTTACATTTTAATAAAGGGCTTCAATCAAAAATATGACTTGAATAATGGGGATTTGGGGTGCTTTGTCATGACAGGCAAACAGGACAATTTTTTTCCCCAAAGGTATGACCTTGTGGTTCTTACTATTTACTTCTCCTGTTGGTATCAGGCCAATGGGAATCCTGATTGTTTGGTCACCTGTATTTGGTTGGCTCCCAACACAAGACAGTGAGACTCTTGGGCTTGTGTTTTTTTGTTTTTGTTTTTCTTCTAGGATGTGCACATTTATAATCTTTGAAATACAATCTCCAATGTATGGAGAGCTCTCCCCTAGAGTAATATAACTATAAATTCTGACCTTATCTAAAAAAAGAAACAGAAACAGTGACTAGGAGGATGATTCTTACTTTAATATTCACTTAATATTATCTAATTTTTTCCCTCCCCAAACAATACTTAGAATATGAAATTGTAGCAGACTGTTTCAGAAATTCAACATTTTCTCTAATCCAGGAATGGGGGAGGTAGGCATCTCTGCTGAGATTGATTGAAAAAAAATTCTTGTTGAATGGAATTCATTTTGATTTCTGCAGGTAATATTCTTCTTACACAATTAGGCATAACTTTGCAACTCAAGGGAGATAAACAGTAGGGATCTTCATCAAAGTCATCTACCTTAAAGAAAAAAAGAACATTTTCAGCTGGGGCATTTAGAACTTTGCACATACTGGCAGCATAAAAATTTGTGTCAAATGATTGAGTGAATAATTAGAAAGGAAGTGAAGGTTGTGCTGCTTTCTTTGCATAGCTTAATATAAATCTGGGGTGAATTAATTCATTCTGACAGCACTGCCTAGGCAACAAGTGTGTATGTTCTTCTTGCGTTGTCAATAGTAGGTGAACTGACCTGAATCTTAACCTAGGGGAGGATATTAATGGCCAAACGTTGGAGACCCTCAGGAAGAGGAACAAACACACCTAATATCCCCTGTAGATTTGTTATTCTTATACTCGCATTTTGGTTGTTTCTCAAAGTTGAGAATGCCTGGTGATATAGAGGGCATGATTTTTCAGTTTATGTTAAGAGAACCGAGGTTCTGGCTGCTGAAAATTTGATGGTAGCATCCGAATTTCAGTTTCAGGAACTGTAGCTATCTCCTTATGTCACTAGCTGAGTTAGAGCTATAATCCCTGAGATCTCTGAGACTAGTCCAAGACCTTGGCTCTGCAGATCTCCTGCTCGGTGCAACATTAGTATCTTTGACATATATTTACTATTGCTTCTTTGCAAAAATATATACATGTTTGGACTGTGTACTTGTTAATGAAATGGTTATGTCAGGGATAGTAGACAAATCAATATGAATTAAACTTTTGGCAAAAAAAATATTTCTGGGGGCTGGGGAGATGGCTCAGTGGAATAAGCACTTCCCTGGCAAGTGCAAGGGCCTGAGTTCAATACCCGGTTCCACAAAAAAAAAAAAAAGATATTTCCAAATCATCCCAAATTGTTATCTGCTAAGGAGCTTCCACAACCCAGACCTTCTCTATGCCATTGCTCCCCGGTGCCTTCATACAAGCATCAGAACGTAACCATACATTAGTTGGCTAATCTGATAGATGCATATGGCCAAGAAAAGGTTTTGTTCATATACATTACTAACTTACCCATCTTTCTTTAGAAAGATGGAGACTGAGAATCTCCTTATACTAATCAACTTAACTGGCAAGAGAGTGTTGCCTCACGGAGGCTTGCAGTTGGTAGGCACTTGGAGAGTATCCATTCTAGCCCTCTTCTATTAAAGATAGAGCGAATGTAGGGAAGCGAGGTGCCTGGGCTCACAGAGTTAGTGATAAAGCTGGACTTGAGCCAAAGCCTTTTGACACCAACTTTGGTACTTTTTGACCTACCATTCTATTTGCAGATTGCTTCAGCCCTGAAAAAGAGAAATGGTTTTTGGAGGCAACTGTAATTTAAAAAACTGCAAGTTGATTAGGTAGTCCTATCACTACCACAGAGAAGATGAGGGAATGGGTACAGTGAGGATATCAAAGGGAGCCTGGAGTTGACTTTGGCTTTTAATGAAAGGAGGGAGGAATAAGGGATCAAAAATAGTGAAGTTCATTCTACAAACTGACCAATTCACTGAAAGCAACATCACTGTCATTTATTATGAACATATGCTAATAGAGTAAAACAATTATAATTAAAACACCACAAGATTTTAAAATAAAGAAAGGCAACCAAAGACAATGTATAATAGCTCAGACAAGAATGAGCCTAGGTATGTGTATGGACATGTGCGTGTGCATGCATGCACACGTGTGTGTGTGCACACGCAAACTGTACTTGGTTTTGAGGAGACATTATTCACATTAATTCAATATCTCTAAAATGTAAATATAGGTAACACAGCATATTTTCTCACCATTTGAGAAGCTTATTTCTGAAGGAGTGTCTTGAATGCAGTCTAAGGATTTGAAAGTGCAGCTAGTCGCAGTTGACTTAAGGGATGGTGTCAGCAATTTGTGTTCAAAGGCCTTCTTCACTCGCTTCTGTTTATACCCAACACATCCCCCAAATCTTCTGCTCCCATCTGAAATGACATAAACAAAGTTACAAACACAAAACTCATCAAATGCTATACTTAAAATGGGTGAACTTTATGATATGTAAATGTTGCTTCAATAATCTTGGTAAAAATATCAAGCCCAGTGTGCGGTGTTCATTCATTCTGGCAGCCAGCTTCTATAAGTCAAGAGAGGTAAGTTTGCTCTGTGACATGTGGTCTAAGGAACAGCATATGCCCCTACCAAGGATGTCTGCTTTTGTGATAGTGCAAAGACCAGCGTATTACTGATATAAAGGAGGGGAAACTTGGTAAGACTTACAGACTCTTGGAGTTGAAACATTGCCTTCCCTAAAAGAAATAGACTGAGCTTTGTATTGAAACTCAGTAAAGCTGCCCAAATTGGACAAATGAACTGTTTGACGCATGCAACATCAGTTTGCCTGCACTGGAGACCTTCTCAAGAGAAGACCAATGTTAAGAGGCAACTAGAGTTTACTACATCATCCATTTTGTGGAGAGGACCATCAGAAGAGCTGTCCAGGTAGTGCGCCAGCCAGACAACTCAGGAATGCTGATACACTCTCTCTATGGCCTCCACCACTCCCTACTTCTCACAATCACTTAGCCTACTGTTGATTACTGGACAGAAGGCCCCAAGATTCAGAGCTTGAAACACAACAGGGACTCAATCGCTGTTCTTTTGATTGAATCAAAAGGGAAGTAACATAGAAAACAAACTATCTGGCCCCACACCCATACAAGAGAGCAGACCTGTGCCAGAAGAGTAGCACCGAGGCCCCTGGAGAGCTTTGCAAAGAGCAGCAGAAGGAGATTATCCAACCAGCTTGATCCTGATGGAGAACAATACCTGGGGAGAGAATGGAGTGCCAGACCTAAAATTGTCTACAGTGAGCCCAACAGCCTACTCAAACTCCTGCCTTGAGGCCTCATCCAGCAGAAAACAGAAAGATGATCACGTTCCCCATCTTCCAACGGAAGCAAGGAGATGCCTTGGCTGGAATAGCAGCCACAACATGGGTGGAACAAACAGAGCATGATCTACTGCAAGGAGGGTGTCTCAAAAACCAGGAAAAGAAATCATTCATTCACTAATTGTTCCTGGACTAAGTCTTCTTCTTCTTCTTCTTCTTCTTCTTCTTCTTCTTCTTCTTCTTCTTCTTCTTCTTCTTCTTCTTCTTCTATTAGTTTA